ATGCACACCGTGTACGAGAGACGCGAGTCTGATGTATGTACGTGCATACTGGGCGACGACACGTTTAAATTCCAACATGATTTCTGAAAGGCGAGACATTCGCGACATCGGAGATACGCCCATCCGATACGCACACGCCGGACTCACCGAGGTGTGGTCATTGATTCCGGGCCACCCCTACATGACGCACGGGGGAAGTACGCTTGTATACTCTATTCCAGCGTGCTTTAAAGGAGCAAATAGATATACCATCAAAGATTGTAAATATACAATTTATAAAACATAAAATTAATCAAGTTTACACAAGGCGCACTATTTTGCATGTTTATCGCTCTATAAATTTCAATCCGCGAGATTCCGCTCCGTAAGAACGATGGTCCATATCCACGGAATGTACCTGCTTTTAAACAGATCTCAATTGAACAGCAACGCGATATAGGAGACGTCGCCCTAAGCATCGTTCATTCCTTGTCGATGGATGATTAACCATCCCAGAGAGATGAACGTCGAAAGTTGAGAACCCCCGCATTCCGAGGGATGGATCAACACGCTAGTTCGCGTGTTATATACCAGGAGCTCTTTGTTTCTCTCTCATTCTCCCGATATCTCTTTCTCTCTCTTTCTCCCCCAGCTCTCGGTCGACCTCTCCCTTTCACGTTCTTTCTCTCGGTTATACCGCTTCCAACCCTCACGTGAGACACGGCCCACCAACAGCCGCTGCTGCCACCCTCTAGAGTCTCTTATTATAATAAAAAATTTCCACGTGAGCGCGGCTCGCGTATATAAATATACTTGGTGGTCGCGCTTAACTTAAAGTACCCGACTGTATCTACCTACCTACCTACCTACCTATCTACCTATCTACCCTAGCTACCTGTGCACATGCACCCGTGGTGTTGGCGTAATAAACGTCCTAGCTGGAACGCGCAGCGGAAGTTTTAATCGTGCACGGAAAAAGGGATCGACGTAAAACGGCCGACCGATATTTCCCCATCGTTTTCCCCCTTTTTCTCATCGTTCGTCGACGACGTTATCACCGACGACGTGTACAAATTTCATCGTATGCAACGAGTATTGAGGTCGTAAACTAGTTAGAAGAGAGGATCCCAATAACATCAGTTGAGTCATATATGGATGTCAGCGCGTGATCAAGATATACATTCACTTAAAAGGATGTGATAAATTTTTCTGATGTAATTTTTAATCATTATCAATATCAGCATTAATATTATTATATATAGGGGAAAAATTTCGTGGAATAGTAATTAATTCGAAAGATCTTGATTATATTCTTACATTGGTTTCTTGCTTGTCCTATTTTTAATTTCTCTAATATTTCAGTCTCAATTTATGCAACATATTTAGATTATAATAAGAAATAATGTATTTTGCAAAAACAGAAATAAAAACAAATAGACATAAGAAATGTATTTAAAAAAAGATCACAATTAAAAATAGTTAAAAATAGTTTCAGCATAAAAAAAGCGATCTATTTACCGTTTCAAAGATCCTAAACAGATTTTATTTGTAATTTTTAATTAGTGACAAAAAAATCTTTAGAATCCAATTTCAATGCAAATTAAAGCGCCTTTAATCGGACTAAACGGATGCGTTACTCGCAAAAGAGAGCCCTGTTGAATTAGAAACGTAAAATCAACGCGCTTGCCGCAAAGTCAATAACACACGCATTCTTCCACGAGCCTCAGATTTAACAGAAAGAGAAAGAAGCAGCGCGACGGTACTTAGTCACGATTTCCGAGGTCTTTGTCTTTCGTCGCCGAAGGGACAAAAGAGGACGCGAATATGGGATCGCGACCGAAGAAGGGTTGGAATGAAGGTGACTGCGCGGCTCAAGTTGGTCTCTAGCCTAGATCTGACTCCGCGGGTGATCCAAGGTTTTAATTAGGATCCAGCCGTGGGAGAGACGCACGCAGTCGTCTCACGTTCTTTCGAGACTAATGATCTTTCCGTTTTGATTAATAACCCGTAGGGTGACGCTCTCGTCCAGATCTATGACACGTTATGCAACAATAATGAAGTTGTATTATCGATTCGCCGATATTTCACTGCCGCTTTCCAAGATTAGTCTCGAACGCAGACAGCAATTAAATGTTACTAATCATATATTATCAATATTTCATCCGGATTAAAGAATTAATTTGACACGAGGCTGCACAAGATTTGTTCATAAAATAAAAGTGTTTCTTCCACGGTTATGGTCAGTTTCTGGTTCTATATAAAGTTCCTCCCTCCCCCCTCCCCTCTCTCTCACTTACAAAACAATCCCTTATTCAAAATCTGTAAATGTGTAGAGATAGAAGAGACAGCTAAATTTGAGCGTTCGGATTCTTCTACATCGATAATGCGTACAATACAGACCCATCAACTTTTAAATTTGTACGATTTGACTAGGTGAGTCATCGGTCGATTTTCCGCGCGAGAAAGGTACCATGGCAAGGTGATAAATTTCAATAAGGTTCAACCTTGACCTTCCTTCATCCGTCCCGTCTATCTGGACGCGAAAAGCCGGCGAAGAAGTTATATGACGTGATTTCAGTCTGGCAGATCCAATATTCGATGTAAACAAACTGAAAGAACTGATATTGCAACAGATCTATATAAGCAATATTTAAAATTTCTTTTGACGTTACAGCAGAAATATTTTTAAATAGAAGCCTCTTCTTCGCCGAAGAGACAATAAAATATTTCAATGTATTTTCTATTTTAAAGTTCAAAAGCTCAAAATGATGAGATAATCAACGACTTCAAATAAACATACTTAAATATTTTAAAGCGGACTTTTGTGTATCATTTGTTTCATAATCATCGATTGTGACGATAAATATTTTAGCAATAATATTACTCAAACTGAGGAAGTCTCATGAAATAAATAACGAGCGCGTTTGTAAGAGTAAAAAATAATGAAGTAAGATGGTACATGTTTGTGTCTGTGCACGTGCAGCTAAAATAGCATACGTCAAGAACATCCAAGTTTCCAGTCCCTGTGTGTGAAGCCGTTGTAGCGGCTCAATATAGTCAACAAAGACCGTCATAATAAAGCCTCTATAGTTTGCTACTCCCGCTTGATTATTTATAGAAAAGAGTTCACGAGGGAAAAAAATTATATCGTTACTTTCCAATTCTCTCGCTTAATAACAATAAAGATATAGACATAAACGTTTCACATTTAATCGTCGCGAATTGCAATCTCTGCCGAGAGACTCGTTTCTATAATAGAGAAGGGCTTCTCCTGATCTTCGACTCACTCCCATCCCTCCACGGTCGGTTTTCGCGTCGGCAAGCTCCAAGTGCGTAAATTTTCAAGACGATGACAAGTGCTACGATGCTGGAGCATTGAGGCAGGTGCCGGAAAAATGAAGAAGCGCGTTTGTCTGACTCGGTAAAAATTACTGCATACAGCCCGTGGAATGCAATCCATCAACGACAGATCCTTGGGTGCATCAAAGGGGGCGGAAGGGGTAAATGCCCCCGAGCATTACAGGGATACAAGCAGAACGCGAAACACTTCACGCGCTTGCGCATTTTTACATTTATTTAATAAAACCTACCACTAACAAAATGATAATGTAAATTTATTTTAATAATTCATATATGTGTATCATGTAAAGAGGTATGCGAACAACAGACACATTTAAAATTTTCATTTTTGTCGCGATAGCATGAATCAAATTAAGCGGCATTTCTCTCGCGAGTAAAACTTCGCGAGGAAAAATTAAATATCGTTGATAAATTGAGAATGGCACGAGGAAACGGCGGCACCTCTCGGTGGCTCTCTTCCGGCCACGTCTATGTCAGAGTGAATCACTCAGCGTGAAAAATGGCGGAACGGCGACGAAGGCGCGAGGAAAAGAGAGCCAGCTAGCTTTACCGTAGTTGAGGTATGGCCGGTTATGTTATGTAAGGACGCCAAAAATATCACCGAATGAGTGACAAGCACTTGGCTTATTCGTTTGTATTCGTTGTCAGACAAATCGAGACACACAAGACGATTATTTGCAAAGATGTGCCGGTTCCTGCCTGGACCAATCTAAAGCCAGGTACAAAATGCATTTGTTAGATCTATACAAGAAAATCGCTTGTTTATAGAAAAATATCTTCTCTAGTAGAATTAGACATTGAGATTAAAGTAAATCTTTTTATTAAACCTAAAGAATTTGATGAAAATTAAATCGATTATTTCAAAATTGAAACGTGAAAAATTTTGACAAAATTTCTTTAAACTGAGTATCCTTTTAAATATAGCTTTTTTGAGGACAGTTTTTCCTTAACGAGAATGTCAGAAGGAATCATTGTTCCTCCTCTATTTTTCAAAATTTTTAATATCATTTATATTTTCAACGCTAATATCGAAGTTAGAAGTCAAAATTTTGCATTTCAAGATAAAATTTCCTTGGAATCGATTGAAGAATGTGATCATGTTAGCTGGTTTGAAACTTAGAAGTATATTCGCAATATTCAATTCAAATATTCCGATTCTTTTATTAGATTAACTAAATTTTACATCGCACACGACGGATCCAAAAATCGCCTGACACTCGTAAACTAACGACAGCAAAATTTAGTTCTGACGATGCACGACGAACTTCATGTTCGACTGTCAATCGCAGCGACTGGTTTGGCACGGTTTGAATCCAACGAAAAAAAAAAACTGAAGGTTGCGAAAATTAGTTTGTACTTACAACTTCTAACAAAAAATATTCGCAAAGGGTAATACCTGATTTTCATAAACCTAAGTAAATTATAACAAGCAAGCGAAAACAACGATTTATCTTTAATTATGCTTATATTTAATTATATAATACTATATATTATATAGCAAATTTTCAAAATGTAATGTTTTTTAACATAAATTTATAACAAAAAAGAAATTATATTTCCAGTTTCACATTTAGGTAATTATATTTCAAAGAAAAAAGAGAAGAGGGGGGGGGGGCGGCGAAGAGAATAGAAAATTGTAATATAGGAAGAAAATATTACGAAATTATATTTGTATGTAAAAAAAAAGGGATGTATCTATACGTTTACAATCTGTCGATGGTCTTAATCGATGCGACCAAAATTATACGCTTTACAGAATATCTCATGATGGAAGACAGATAAAAATGTCAAACGAGAAGAGGCACGAGCCGACGATCTACGAGGCGATAAATAAAAATCGGTGAGTATCCAGCAAACGATGTAAGAAGCAGGTCACGCGGAAAATCTAAGATCGATGGGAGAAATGCACGAGCGGAGGATATGTTCAACACTTCGAGATAGAATCTTCGAATTCCCGGACGCAAAATGCGGGATAAAACGCTGGTAAATGATTTCGTGCCCTGAAGATGGTAACCTTCGGGCGATGATACAAATTTTCATCGGGAAGAGGAGTCATTGCACTTTATGCTGAATGGGCAGCGAGTCAACAACCCGGCTTCTCTCTCTCTCTCTCTCTCTCTCTCTCTCTCTCTCTTTCTCTCTCTCACTTTGTCCATGTATGCGTTACACCACATCTTCATGGTCTCTTCTTTCCTCTCTCTTTCTCGTTCTCTTTCAGAGAGGAAGAGGAAAAACGCAACGTGGAGACGGAAAAGGGAGAAGAAGGAAAGGTCGGGGGGAGTTGGAACGGGGGTGGAGAAGGGGCTGGAAGAGAAGGTCTGGGAAACGCTTCATGCATCGGAGAGCACAAGCGCTCACGTAATAACACGATCGGAAAGCGAGCGAAGCACCGTCTCACGCGTGTACGCACTTTTCGTGCGCCGACACGCGTGGCTCTTCTTCACGTCGTATGTGCCGGTATCAGAAAGAAAGGCACGAGCGTGCGCGGCTCCGAGCGTGCTCGTCGAAACGCGCGTGTAATATTTATCCTAGTACGAGCGCGAACGAGCATCCTATTTTTATATGTACATCGTACACAGGACGCACGTCGCGAAAATCTCAGCGCGCTTCGGCGAAGGGAGACTCGAAGGTCGACCTTTTTTTACCGAGTGAGATAATTCAAGATATGAGGTACGCGGTTTGACGATTAAAGCTCGTGGACAAATCTCTTTAAGCTCGTGATCACAATATCCATTGGAGATCGAGGATTGCGAATTAGAGATTAGAATTTGACCATTCAAATAATTTTAGTCCATCTCATTCTGATTGATTAAATTCTCATCTCCAATTTGTAATCTTCAATTTCCAATGAGAGAAAAGTGTTTTTGGAACTTGTTACTATAATTGGATGGTAAAATCATTATAATTAAAACTTCCATTTTTATGATTATTGCTAATGTTAACAATAATAATTACATTTATAATCCTATGTACCAAAAAGAATATGTAGTTGTTTCCTGGAAACGATTATAAAATTGTTAATAATAATTACTATTACAGTAATAATATTATTTTTATCAACATTACAGTAGTAATAACAACAAAAATGGAATTCTTAAGCATAATTATTTCATCATGCAATCATAGTAATCACAAATATCAAACTTTTCTCTCAATATAGTGGGCTCAGTATCTCTATCTCGAATTATAACGGTGATGGCGATTCTTCTGAGAAAGTATCATTACGAGGAAGAATTCACAAAACATTTTTAAGAATATTCTCTTTTTCACTTTTTATATAAAAGAAATATTTTTGCATTACTCCAAAGATAATGATTATTGCAATTCAATGTTTTTTAATTACAGGAAAATAAAATATAATTTTTTGTTGAACTGACTTGAAGTAAAAACATGTGTTAAAAATTCAATATTTTCTTTTCCGAAAAATTCTTGATGATTGAGTTGAGAAGATTTAACGTCGTGTCTCTGACTAGAAAAATGGGCTTCCCTTACTCTAAGCAATGCGTGTATCCACGGAAGTAGAACTCGCTCGTCGAGTAAAATTAATACCGAGTGCTGTGTCGTTCTATCTTTTTCCAGACATCTAGTCTCGGCTCATGGTCGCCGGCAACTTTACGCCGCATTTTGCGTTCTCATCGAGGCGTAAGACGTCGAGTGAAGAGAGAGAAAAACCGGGAAGATCGACAACGCGAGCAATTTGCTCTATGTTTAGCAAAGTATCTTAAGTGATGATATTTTCGAAACATAATTACGGAAGTATATGTCAGATCAACAGATAAGATAAACCCTTAAGAATTGTATTCTATATACAACATGTCTTAATAGTTAAGAGAGAAACCAACAAATATTCCCAACGTAATGCAGGTACTATTGCAGACAGTCGACTCGTTGCGCATACGAGTCCAGTTCTTCGCGCGGAAGCCGCTGTCGCGGCTTTTTCTTGAGAACAATGGTCGCCGGTGGTATCATTTCCGTAGGCGGGAAAGCGCGTTACAACTACTGCTTCCCCCATCTCGGTCTTCATTCGCGACGATTCTACCATTTCAATTCTCAGTCAATACGAAAGTCTCTGGGATACTTTATGAAAAGGAACTCCGAGCTTGGGATATTATCGAGAGAAAAGCCGCCGATAAGATTTTATCAATTTTCAAAAAGATAATCGCTCTCGGAAATTTAATACAATTTAAAAACAATCAAAATATTACTAATGATATATAATAATTAATATCGCAACAGGAATGCGCGGATCTGCACATCCTCCGCGACATGTCTGAGTACGAGCACTTGACGAGATGCAGAAACGATCGGATGGTACCAATATATACTTGCCGTTCTATTTTCTGAATAGCCACTCAAAGTAGACACGTCAAGAAGCTGTCACTCAATGATTTATAAGTTCGTCCACAATCGCCACTCGGCGTTTCTCTCTTTAAAACCCGTGCAGATCGTCACCCATTATCGACACGAGGTTCGCTTTTGTGAAGGTAGAATAGAAAAAGTATGCCCTCGAGAATATACGACATCAAGGTCGTAAGGATATCATTGTATTCGCCTGCCGATCGAAAAGATGGGCAAAAAGCATAGTGGCCGAATGCGGTCCTAGTTAAATGTCATAAGAAGCCTATCTCGTTTCTTACGTCATTAAAGCACAAACAATGCATATGCTAAAAATAAGATAACGAGGTAGAACAAAGCATTTTCATTTAGAAACGCGTGTTTCAAATAACTAAATAAATGAAAATAAATGCGAGAAACGTATAGTCTTTTGATAATACAGCCTGATTACATGTGAAAGACGAGGAAACGGTCGGATAAAACGCGCGAGTCGAAGCCAAACTAGTCGGTTCTGTCATCGAGAACGGACGAATGAACAGGACGTCACATGACGCATGTGCGCAAAACGACGTAGCTATTTTCTCTGGCTTGGCTATACTCGAAAATAGTAATGCTTTAATCACGTCTCAATTGAGTGCGGCTAGAGACTACAAAGTAATTCACTATTTGAATTCTACAATATTTTGCATTCAAACTGATAGAATCAGTCATTTTAGTTATTTGTTACAAAAGAACAATGTTAAAGTGAATGTCATTAGAATACGTTGTATATTGAATACAGTAATGATCTTAAGGATTAATAACAATTATATTGTGCAATTTTTTTATAAATGCGTAATAAAAGAAAATAAAAAGACTAAAAAATTTTTTCTTATCAAGAAGATTTGCTGCTGTTTCTAGAATAAATTTTCCTAATTTTATAAGTGTGTAATTCGTGATAAACGTTCATTGCAAAATTTAGTTTTATGTAAAAAAAAAAAAGAAAAATACTAATTCAAACTGCAACAAGATTACTTTAGTTGCAAATCATTTTTTCATTCTGAGAAATGAAAAAAAGTTGATAAAAATACCTGACATAAAAACTAGATGCTTTATAGGAAGTTCTGCAATGTCTTTTGCATGATTACATTTGAAATCTTCAGTAACTTCGGAGGATTGCGCAAAACTAGGAAAATTTTCTCGGAAGAAAAATCTTGCGGAAAAAGTGCGACGACAAAGCTAAGCGGTACAAATCGGGAGTATGCTTCTCAAGAATGGGGGAACATTTACTACATAATCGAGATTAATCTCTCCGTAATAACCGCATTATGGAACTGCAACGCGGCATCGTAACCGTTTTATAAGAAGTCTGACAAGAATTCTTTGTAAACTAATGTTATTAACATTCACAGAAAAGTTCGTTTAATCGTCATATAAATACTTGGAAAGATATTTTTGATCCTATCTTACATATACTTATAATTATATTGATGTAATTGCGCAAACCTTGAATTCTCTTTTCGAGTACCAATAAGCATATTATAGCGGAGAAAAATTTACAGGTTTCCATTTTTAATAAACAACATATGATTCTAATAAGAGAGTGTTGAAACAAGGAACGTTAACGATCGCGAGTGTAAGTATAGGTTTGATTCTTAAATAAATACAAGTTACGCAGATCTGAACTATATAAAGGAATTTTAAGCACAATCGGTATATCCTGCAACATTCATTTAAACATATTGCATCATCAGTTTAGTGTTTCGTTTACAGTTGTGTAAAGAAATAGAATCATGATATTCCCGCGGCAGCAACACAGAGAGAGAGGGGAGGGAATTAGTTAACGACAGGCCATGGGCATCACGTGTATTGAGAGAGTAATAAAGATATAAGTTATTCGGTGTTGCTCATCTACACACCCAGACACATTACATAACAACAGTAATATTTCAAACTTAATGCATGGTAAATTTTATTTGCAAAAAAGATTTGCATGAAGATAAATTGAACGATTCTTTTTGTACTAAATTATATGACAATTTATGTTGTCAATCCATTCATTCAATCTCGACTTTTCATTTACTAAAATAGAACTAAATAAAATTCTATTAAAATAATTTGATCAAGCTTTAGAATCTTTTATATAATGTGTTCTCCAATTTAGATTTCTTTAGATTTTCATTAAGTATATTAACTTCATCGCACGTTACTCTCTAAATTCTCTGGAATGGAATCTCACTCTAAAGAATGAAAATTGAATTAGTCTTGAAAAAAAGTGGCTCAATTTTCGATCTTTAAGAATAAAATTTATTTTAAAAACTTTAGAGAGTATTCTTGAAAATTTGTATATTTTGAATTTTTATAATTTTCCTAACGTTAATTAGCAGATAGTGTCTGAATATTCTAATACGAATAATATAACGTCAAAAATTCGCAATTTGTTCAACAATTGGTACAAAACTAAGAAATTCGAAATCTGCGTTTGCAAAAAATATAACAAAACTTCCTTGCAGTTCCAAATGATATCGATAACATTTGTTACATTTAGCGCTACGACGGACACACAAGTCCTTCTCCGTTTGGTAGTATCTAAAAAAACGAAAAGTTGACAACTTACCCCGACATCAAAGGGTGCGGTTTCTTGTGGTTGCGGAGGACCTTGTTGTTGTTGCTGTTGTTGCGAGGGTGGTGGACCTTGTGGCGGCGGCGGGGCTTGCGCTCCGAAGAGTTGCGCTGCTGCGTGTGAATGCGGATGTTGTAGATGATGAGTCGGTGGCGCTTGATGATGCTGCAGATGATGCGGTGGTGCTGGAGCAAATGCTGCCATAAAATGTTCCTCATTGCCGACAACATCAATCCCAGGTTTTAACAGAACAACGTTATTGTTCACCAATGCGGGACCAGCGTTCTTCTGAAACTCTTCTTCGCCTGGTGACGGTTGACGACTACCAGGTGTGCGGCTACAACATAAATGAAAGAATCAATCAGATTAAGTAAGAAATGTAGCCTAGCTAATTTACAAATTAAAATATATATTTTATACAAAATAATTACGTAATAGCTTTATCTACAGCTTTGATAATGAATATTTAATAATAGTTGAAATAAACCTAAAACCTGAATAAAACTATAATTTTATTTTCTATATAAAAAAATTGATATAATTTTCCTAAGAGTGATTGAAATTAGCAACCGTAAATGTCAAGGACCTCATTGTAAATAACAAACGTGCACGATATGCTCAGCGAGCATAAAATTTATTTTCAAAATTCTTGATTTTTACACAATATATTTTTAAGATGTGCTTTTTTCAGATTCTACCTCTTTCAGATTTTACCTTAAATTTTGGATTTAGACTAAAATTTATTTAGACTACAATTCTCTTATAAA